GGCGCCGACGCCGCTGAGCTTCCGCTCGATGGCGTCGACTCTCACGTAGACGGAGCGCAGCCCGCGCAGGGCCAGGCGCAAGTAGGCGGACAGATCGCCGCCAACGCCGCCGTCGCCGCCGCTACCGTCGCTACCGCCACCCCGGGGCCTGGTCACCGCCGAAGCCTGCCCTCGCCCATCACCCACGTGGCGTCTGTGGTCACCGTGGCTACCGCCACCGCCACGGGGCCTGGTCCCCGCCGAAGCCTGCCCTCGCCCGCCACCACCGTGGCGTCTGTGGTCACCGTCGCTGAAGCTACCGCCACCGCCCTGGGGCCTGGTCACCGCCGAAGCCTGCCCTCGCCCGCCCCCCCGGTTCCGCCACCGCCACCGCCGCTCCCCATCGGGGCGGCCGCCGCCGCCGCCGCCGCCGCCGCCGGCCTCTGGGGGTGCCGGCGGCCGCTGGCCGGGCCTCCTCCTGTGTCTGGGGCGGCTGGGGGGGTCCAACTCGGGGGAGGAGGTAGGAGGAGGAGGTAGGAGGAGGAGGTAGGAGGAGGAGGTAGGAGGAGGAGGATGAGGTAGGAGGAGGAGGATGAGGAGGAGGATGAAGAGGAGGATGAGGAGGATGAGGATGATGAGCAGGATGAGGAGGAGGATGAGGAGGTAGGAGGAGGTAGGAGGATGAGGAGGATGAGGAGGATGAGGTAGGAGGAGGATGAGGAGGAGGATGAGGAGGAGGATGAGGTTGGAGGAGGATGAGGAGGAGGATGAGGAGGATGAGTAGGATGAGGAGGATGAGGATGATGAGGAGGAGGATGAGGAGGATGATGAGGAGGCAGGAGGAGGTAGGAGGATGAGGAGGATGATGAGGAGGATGAGGAGGGTTGTTTTTTGTGTTGTTTGTTCATCATCGGAGCGGAATGGAGAGGGGGCCGAAGGAGTGGGCCACGGGGGAATTGTGTTTTTGGGAAGTGAGGGAGGTGAGAAGGGAGGTGAGGAGGTGAGGGAGGGAGGTGAGGAGGTGAGGAAGGAGGTGAGGAGGGAGGTGAGGAGGGAGGTGAGGAGGTGAGGAGGGAGGTGAGGAGGTGAGGAGGGAGGTGAGGAGGGAGGAGGTGAGGAGGGAGGTGAGGAGGTGAGGAGGGAGGTGAGGAGGTGAGGAGGGAGGTGAGGAGGTGAGGAGGGAGGTGAGGAGGTGAGGAGGGAGGTGAGGAGGTGAGGAGGGAGGTGAGGAGGTGAGGAGGGAGGTGAGGAGGTGAGGAGGTGAGGAGGGAGGTGAGGAGGTGAGGAAAGAGGTGAGGAGGGAGGTGAGGAGGTGAGGAGGTGAGAAAGGAGGTGAGGAGGGAGGTGAGGAGGTGAGGAAAGAGGTGAGGAGGGAGGTGAGGAGGGAGGAGGGAGATGAGGAGGTGAGGAAGGAGGTGAGGAGGTGAGGAAGGAGGTGAGGAGGGAGGTGAGGAGGGAGGTGAGGGATGGAGGTGAGGAGGGAGATGAGGAGGTGAGGATGGTGGTGGACGAGGTGGTGGTGGTGGTGGTGGGACAGGAGAGGTTTTGTTATGGTGAGAGGGATTTGGGATTTGAGAAGAGCACAGCAAGAGGAGGAGGATGATGATGATGATGAAGAGAGAGACAGAGGAACAGGGATGTAGGATGATGATGATGATGCTGATGATGATGATGAAGAAGAGAGAGAGACAGGAAAAGGGATGTAGGATGATTATGATGATGATGAGAGAGAGACAGATGAAGAGAGATGATGATGATGATGAAGAGAGAGAGACAGAGGAACAGGGATGTAGGATGATGATGCTGATGATGATGAAGAAGAGAGAGAGACACACAGGAAAAGGGATGTAGGATGATGATGATGATGAAGAGAGAGACAGAGGAACAGGGATGTAGGATGATGATGATGATGCTGATGATGATGATGAAGAAGAGAGAGAGACAGGAAAAGGGATGTAGGATGATTATGATGATGATGAGAGAGAGACAGAGGAAGAGAGATGATGATGATGAAGAGAGAGAGACAGAGGAACAGGGATGTAGGATGATGATGCTGATGATGATGAAGAAGAGAGAGAGAGACACAGGAAAAGGGATGTAGGATGATGATGATGATGAGAGAGAGACAGAGGAAGAGAGATGATGATGATGATGAAGAAGAGAGAGAGACAGGAAAAGGGATGTAGAATGATGATGATGATGCTGATGATGAAGAAGAGAGAGAGACACACAGGAAAAGGGATGTAGGATGATGATGATGATGATGAGAGAGAGACAGAGGAAGAGAGATGATGATGATGATGAAGAGAGAGAGAAAGACAGAGGAAGAGGGATGATGATGTTGATGATGCAGAGAAAGAGAGGAAGAGGGATGATGATGATGATGCTGATGATGATGAAGAGAGAGAGACAGAGGAACAGGGATGTAGGATGATGATGATGATCAAGAAGAGAGAGAGAGACAGGAAAAGGGATGTAGGATGATGATGATGATGAGAGAGAGACAGAGGAAGAGAGATGATGATGCTGATGATGATGATGAAGAGAGAGAGACAGAGGAACAGGGATGTAGGATGATGATGATGATGCTGATGATGATGAAGAAGAGAGAGACAGGAAAAGGGATGTAGGATGATGATGATGATGATGAGAGAGAGACAGAGGAAGAGAGATGATGATGATGATGAAGAGAGAGAGACAGAGGAACAGGGATGTAGAATGATGATGATGCTGATGATGAAGAAGAGAGAGAGAGACACAGGAAAAGGGATGTAGGATGATGATGATGAGAGAGAGACAGATGAAGAGAGATGATGATGATGATGAAGAGAGAGAGACAGAGGAAGAGGGATGATGATGTTGATGATGCAGAGAAAGAGAGGAAGAGGGATGATGATGATGATGATGCTGATGATGATGAAGAAGAGAGAGACACAGGAAAAGGGATGTAGGATGATGATGATGAAGAGAGAGAGACAGAGGAAGAGAGATGATGATGATGATGATTATGCAGAGAGAGAGAGAGGAAGAGGCATGTAGGATGATGATGATAATGAAGAGAGAGAGACAGAGGAAGAGGCATGTAGGATGATGATGATGATGCTAGTGAGATACTGGGTAGTGAGATACTGGGTAGTGAGACACTGGGAAGTGAGACACTGGGTAGTGAGACACTGCTAGTGAGACACTGGGTAGTGAGACACTGGGTAGTGAGACACTGCTAGTGAGACACTGCTAGTGAGACACTGGGTAGTAAGACACTGGGTAGTGAGACACTGCTAGTGAGACACTGGGTAGTAAGACACTGGGTAGTGAGACACTGCTAGTGAGACACTGGGTAGTGAGACACTGGGTAGTGAGACACTGGGTAGTGAGACACTGCTAGTGAGACACTGGGTAGTGAGACACTGCTAGTGAGACACTGGGTAGTGAGACACTGGGTAGTGAGACACTGGGTAGTGAGACACTGGGTAGTGAGACACTGGGTGGTGAGACGCTGCTAGTGAGACACTGGGTAGTGAGACACTGGGTAGTGAGACACTGCTAGTGAGACACTGGGTAGTGAGACACTGCTAGTGAGACACTGCTAGTGAGACACTGGGTAGTCAGACACTGCTAGTGAGACACAGGGTAGTGAGACACTGCTAGTGAGACACTGGGTAGTGAGACACTGGGTAGTGAGACACTGGGTAGTGAGACACTGCTAGTGAGACACTGGGTAGTGAGACACTGCTAGTGAGACACAGGGTAGTGAGACACTGCTAGTGAGACACTGGGTAGTGAGACACTGGGTAGTGAGACACTGGGTAGTGAGACACTGGGTAGTGAGACACTGCTAGTGAGACACTGGGTAGTGAGACACTGCTAATGAGACACTGGGTAGTGAGACACTGGGTAGTGAGACACTGGGTAGTGAGACACTGCTAGTGAGACACTGGGTAGTGAGACACTGGGTAGTGAGACACTGGGTAGTGAGACACTGGGTAGTGAGACACTGGGTAGTGAGACACTTCTAGAGAGACACTGGGTAGTGAGACACTGGGTAGTGAGACACTGCTAGTGAGACACTGGGTAGAGAGACACTGGGTAGTGAGACACTGGGTAGTGAGACACTGGGTAGAGAGACACTGGGTAGTGAGACACTGGGTAGTGAGACACTGGGTAGTGAGACACTGGGTAGTGAGACACTGGGTAGTGAGACACTGGGTAGTGAGACACTGGGTGGTGAGACACTGGGTAGTGAGACACTGCTAGTGAGACACAGGGTAGTGAGACACTGGGTAGTGAGACACTGGGTAGTGAGACACTGGGTAGTGAGACACTGGGTAGTGAGACACTGCTAGTGAGACACTGGGTAGAGAGACACTGCTAGTGAGACACTGCTAGTGAGACACTGGGTAGAGAGACACTGCTAGTGAGACACTGCTAGTGAGACACAGGGTAGTGAGACACTGCTAGTGAGACACTGCTAGTGAGACACTGGGTAGTGAGATACTGCTAGTGAGACACTGGGTAGTGAGACACTGGGTAGTGAGACACTGCTAGTGAGACACTGGGTAGTGAGACACTGGGTAGTGAGACACTGCTAGTGAGACACTGCTAGTGAGACACTGGGTAGTGAGACACTGCTAGTGAGACACTGGGTAGTGAGATACTGCTAGTGAGACACTGGGTAGTGAGACACTGGGTAGTGAGACACTGCTAGTGAGACACTGGGCAGTGAGACACTGGGTAGTGAGACACTGCTAGTGAGACACTGGGTAGTGAGACTCTGGGTAGTGAGACACTGGGTAGTGAGACACTGGGTAGTGAGACACTGGGTAGTGAGACACTGCTAGTGAGACACTGGGTAGTGAGACACTGGGTAGTGAGACACTACTAGTGAGACACTGGTTAGTGAGACACTGCTAGTGAGACACTGGGTAGTGAGACACTGGGTAGAGAGACACTGCTAGTGAGACACTGGGTAGTGAGACACTGGGTAGTGAGACACTGGGTAGTGAGACACTGCTTGTCCTCACCTTTGTCCGTGCGGTGTTTGCTTGTCCGTGGCCCAGATCCTCCTCCTTCCTGGACCTCTTCAGCTGAGGACTCAAGACTGGGGGGGCGAGAATCGTCACCGTCATCATCGTCGTCATCATCATCGTTGTCATCATCGTCATCATCGTCATCATCATAGTCATCATCATCATCGTCATCATCATCATCGTCATCATCATCGTAGTCGTCATCGTCATCATCATCGTCATCATCATCATCGTCATCATCATCATCATCGCCTTCATCGTCATCATCGTCATCATCATCATAGTCGTCATCGTCATCATCATCATCATCGTCATCATCATCATCATCGTCATCATCATAATCGTCATCATTGTCGTCATCATCGTCATCATCATCGTCATCATCGTCATCATTGTCGTCATCGTCATCATCGTCATCATCATCATCATCAACATCGTCGTCATCGTCATCATCATCGTCATCATCGTCATCATTGTCGTCATCGTCATCATCGTCATCATCATCAACATCATCGTCATCATCATCATCATCATCGTCGTCATCGTCACCATCGTCATCATCATCATCATCGTAGTCATCATCATCGTCATCATCATCACCGTCAATGTCGTCATCATCATCATCGTCATCATCGTCATCGTCGTCATCATCATCATCGTCATCATCGTCATCATCATCATCGTCATCATCGTCATAATCATTATCATCATCTTCATCGTCATCATCGTCATAAGCATCATCGTCATCATCGTCATCATCGTCATCATCATCATCATCGTCATCATCGTCATCGTCATCATCGTCATCATCATCATCATCGTCGCCATGTCAACTAAACTATGTTTACAGAGACCCACAGAGACCCACATAAACTTCCATAGACGCACAGAGACACCCACAGAGACCCACAGAGACCCATAGAGACCCATACTCACACAGACCCACAGAGACCCATATTCATAGAGACCCACACAGACCCACAGAGACCCATACTCATAGAGACCCACACTCATAGAGACCCATACTCATAGAGACCCACACAGACCTACAGAGACCCACACTCATAGAGACCCACACAGACCCACAGAGACCCATATCATAGAGTGAGTGAGTGACTGACTGACTGAGTGAGTGAGTGACTGAGTGAGTGACTCAGTGGTTGAGTGAGTGAGTGAGTGACTGAGTGAGTGAGTGACTGAGTGAGTGACTCAGTGATTGAGTGAGTGGTGATTGAGTGAGTGAGTGACTGAGTGAGTGACTGAGTGAGTGAGTGAGTGACTGAGTGAGTGAGTGAGTGACTGAGTGAGTGAGTGAGTGACTGAGTGAGTGAGTGAGTGACTGAGTGAGTGACTGAGTGAGTGAGTGACTGAGTGAGTGAGTGACTGAGTGAGTGACTGAGTGAGTGAGTGACTGAGTGAGTGAGTGACTGAGTGAGTGACTGAGTGAGTGAGTGACTGAGTGAGTGACTGAGTGAGTGAGTGACTGAGTGAGTGACTGAGTGACTGAGTGAGTGAGTGACTGAGTGAGTGACTGAGTGACTGAGTGAGTGACTGAGTGAGTGACTGAGTGATTGAGTGACTGAGTGAGTGACTGAGTGAGTGACTGAGTGAGTGAGTGAGTGACTGAGTGAGTGACTGAGTGAGTGAGTGACTGAGTGAGTGAGTGAGTGACTGAGTGAGTGACTGAGTGAGTGAGTGGCTGAGTGAGTGACTGAGTGAGTGACTGACTTACGTGTGGCTGTGAGTGTGACGTTGAGTGGTGGCTGTAGAGTGAACCCCTCCTACCACAAACATCACCACCACCATCAACACCACCATCAACACCATCATCACCATCATCATCAACACCATCACCACCATCACCACCATCAACATCACCATCAACATCAACATCACCACCATCAACATCACCATCAACACCATCACCACCATCAACATCACCATCACCACCGTCATCACCATCATCACCATCAACACCATCACCACCATCAACATCACCATCATCACCATCATCAACACCACCATCATCATCATCACCATCAACACCATCATCATCATCAACATCACCATCATCACCATCATCACCATCATCATCACCATCATCACCATCATCATCATCACCATCAACACCATCATCAACGTCACCATCAACACCATCACCACCATCAACATCACCATCATCACCATCATCACCATCAACATCACCATCACCACCATCACCATCATCATCACGATTATCACTACATAGTGAGTGAGTGTAGTGGTGAGTGTAGTGGTGAGTGTAGTAGTGAGTGTAGTGGTGAGTGTAGTAGTGAGTGTAGTAGTGGTGAGTGTAGTGGTGAGTGTAGTGGTGAGTGTAGTGGTAAGTGTAGTGGTGAGTGTAGTGGTGAGTGTAGTGGTGAGTGTAGTGGTGAGTGTAGTGGTGAGTGTAGTAGTAGTGAGTGTAGTGGTGAGTGTAGTGGTGAGTGTAGTGGTGAGTGTAGTGGTGAGTCTATGACGCATGTGGTGAGTGTAGTAGTGAGTCTAGTGTTGAGTGTAGTGGAGAGTGTAGTGGTGAGTCTAGTGGTGAGTGTAGTGGTGAGTGTAGTAGTGAGTGTAGTGGTGAGTGTAGTGGTGAGTGTAGTGGTGAGTGTAGTAGTAGTGAGTGTAGTGGTGAGTGTAGTGGTGAGTCTAGTGGTGAGTGTAGTGGTGAGTGTAGTGGTGGTGAGTGTAGTGGTGAGTGTAGTGGTGAGTGTAGTAGTGAGTGTAGTTGTGAGTGTAGTAGTGAGTGTAGTGGTGAGTGTAGTGGTGAGTGTGGTGGTGAGTGTAGTGGTGAGTGTAGTGGTGAGTGTGGTGGTGAGTGTGGTGGTGAGTGTAGTGGTGAGTGTAGTGGTGAGTGTCGTGGTGAGTGTAGTGGTGAGTGTGGTGGTGAGTGTAGTGGTGAGTGTAGTGGTGAGTGTAGTGGTGAGTGTGGTGGTGAGTGTAGTAGTGGTGAGTGTAATAGTGAGTGTAGTGGTGAGTGTATTGGTGAGTGTAGTAGTGAGTGTAGTGGTGAGCGTAGTGATGAGTGTAGTGGTGAGTGTAGTAGTGAGTGTAGTAGTGAGTGTAGTGGTGAGTGTAGTGGTGAGTGTGGTGGTGAGTGTAGTGGTGAGTGTAGTAGTGGTGAGTGTAGTAGTGAGTGTAGTAGTGGTGAGTGTGGTGGTGAGTGTAGTGGTGAGTGTAGTAGTGAGTGTAGTGGTGAGTGTAGTAGTGAGTGTAGTGGTGAGTGTAGTGGTGAGTGTAGTGGTGAGTGTAGTAGTGGTGAGTGTGGTGGTGAGTGTAGTAGTGAGTGTAGTGGTGAGTGTAGTGGTGAGTGTAGTAGTGGTGAGTGTAGTGGTGAGTGTAGTGGTGAGTGTGGTGGTGAGTGTAGTGGTGGTGAGTGTAGTGGTGAGTGTAGTGGTGAGTGTAGTGGTGAGTGTGGTGGTGAGTGTAGTGGTTGTGAGTGTAGTGGTGAGTGTAGTGGTGAGTGTAGTGGTGAGTTTGGTGATGAGTGTAGTGGTGAGTGTAGTGGTGAGTTTGGTGGTGAGTGTAGTGGTGAGTGTAGTGGTGAGTGTGGTGGTGAGTGTAGTGGTGAGTGTAGTGGTGAGTGTAGTGGTGAGTGTGGTGGTGAGTGTGGTGGTGAGTGTAGTGGTGAGTGTAGTGGTGAGTGTAGTGGTGAGTGGAGTGGTGAGTGTGGTGGAGAGTGTAGTGGTGAGTGTAGTGGTGAGTGTAGTGGTGAGTGTGGTGGTGAGTGTGGTGGTGAGTGTGTTGGTGAGTGTAGTGGTGAGTGTAGTGGTGAGTGTAGTGGTGAGTGTGGTGGTGAGTGTGGTGGTGAGTGTAGTGGTGAGTGTGGTGGTGAGTGTAGTGGTGAGTGTGGTGGTGAGTGTAGTGGTGAGTGTAGTGGTGAGTGTAGTGGTGAGTGTGGTGGTGAGTGTGGTGGTGAGTGTGGTGGTGAGTGTAGTGGTGAGTGTGGTGGTGAGTGTGGTGGTGAGTGTAGTGGTGAGTGTAGTAGTGAGTGTGGTGGTGAGTGTGGTGGTGAGTGTGGTGGTGAGTGTAGTGGTGAGTATAGTGGTGAGTGTAGTGGTGAGTGTAGTGGTGAGTGTAGTGGTGAGTGTAGTAGTGGTGAGTGTAGTGGTGAGTGTAGTAGTGAGTGTAGTGGTGAGTGTAGTGGTGAGTGTAGTGGTGGTGAGTGTAGTGGTGAGTGTAGTAGTGAGTGTAGTAGTGGTGAGTGTAGTGGTGAGTCTAGTGGTGAGTGTAGTGGTGGTGAGTGTAGTGGTGAGTGTAGTGGTGAGTGTAGTAGTGGTGAGTGTAGTGGTGAGTGTAGTGGTGAGTGTAGTGGTGAGTGTAGTGGTGAGTGTAGTGGTGAGTGTAGTGGTGAGTGTGGAGGTGAGTGTAGTGGTGAGTGTAGTGGTGAGTGTGGTGGTGAGTGTAGTGGTGAGTGTAGTGGTGAGTGTGGTGGTGAGTGTAGTGGTGAGTGTAGTGGTGAGTGTGGTGGTGAGTGTGGTGGTGAGTGTGGTGGTGAGTGTAGTGGTGAGTGTAGTGGTGAGTGTAGTGGTGAGTGTGGTGGTGAGTGTGGTGGTGAGTGTGGTGGTGAGTGTAGTGGTGAGTGTAGTGGTGAGTGTGGTGGTGAGTGTGGTGGTGAGTGTGGTGGTGAGTGGTGGTGAGTGTAGTGGTGAGTGTAGTGGTGAGTGTAGTGGTGAGTGTGGTGGTGAGTGTGGTGGTGAGTGTAGTGGTGAGTTTATTTGTGAGTGTAGTGGTGAGTGTAGTGGTGAGTGTAGTGGTGAGTGTGGTGGTGAGTGTAGTGGTGAGTGTAGTGGTGAGTGTGGTGGTGAGTGTGGTGGTGAGTGTGGTGGTGAGTGTGGTGGTGAGTGTAGTGGTGAGTGTAGTGGTGAGTGTGGTGGTGAGTGTGGTGGTGAGTGTAGTGGTGAGTGTAGTGGTGAGTGTGGTGGTGAGTGTGGTGGTGAGTGTAGTGGTGAGTGTAGTGGTGAGTGTGGTGGTGAGTGTAGTGGTGAGTGTCGTGGTGAGTGTAGTGGTGAGTGTAGTGGTGAGTGTAGTGGTGAGTGTGGTGGTGAGTGTAGTGGTGAGTGTAGTGGTGAGTGTGGTGGTGAGTGTAGTGGTGAGTGTGGTGGTGAGTGTGGTGGTGAGTGTAGTGGTGAGTGTAGTGGTGAGTGTGGTGGTGAGTGTGGTGGTGAGTGTGGTGGTGAGTGTAGTGGTGAGTATAGTGGTGAGTGTAGTGGTGAGTGTAGTGGTGAGTGTAGTGGTGAGTGTAGTGGTGAGTGTAGTAGTGGTGAGTGTAGTGGTGAGTGTAGTAGTGAGTGTAGTGGTGAGTGTAGTGGTGAGTGTAGTGGTGAGTGTGGTGGTGAGTGTAGTGGTGAGTGTGGTGGTGAGTGTAGTGGTGAGTGTGGTGGTGAGTGTAGTGGTGAGTGTGGTGGTGAGTGTGGTGGTGAGTGTAGTGGTGAGTGTGGTGGTGAGTGTAGTGGTGAGTGTGGTGGTGAGTGTGGTGGTGAGTGTAGTGGTGAGTGTGGTGGTGAGTGTAGTGGTGAGTGTGGTGGTGGTGAGTGTAGTGGTGAGTGTGGTGGTGAGTGTGGTGGTGAGTGTGGTGGTGAGTGTAGTGGTGAGTGTAGTGGTGAGTGTAGTGGTGAGTGTAGTGGTGAGTGTAGTAGTGAGTGTAGTAGTGGTGAGTGTAGTGGTGAGTGTAGTAGTGAGTGTAGTGGTGAGTGTAGTGGTGAGTGTAGTAGTGGTGAGTGTAGTGGTGAGTGTAGTGGTGAGTGTGGTGGTGAGTGTAGTGGTGGTGAGTGTAGTGGTGAGTGTAGTAGTGGTGAGTGTAGTGGTGAGTGTAGTGGTGAGTGTGGTGGTGAGTGTAGTGGTGGTGAGTGTAGTGGTGAGTGTAGTGGTGAGTGTAGTGGTGAGTGTGGTGGTGAGTGTAGTGGTTGTGAGTGTAGTGGTGAGTGTAGTGGTGAGTGTAGTGGTGAGTTTGGTGATGAGTGTAGTGGTGAGTGTAGTGGTGAGTTTGGTGGTGAGTGTAGTGGTGAGTGTAGTGGTGAGTGTGGTGGTGAGTGTAGTGGTGAGTCTAGTGGTGAGTGTAGTGGTGAGTGTGGTGGTGAGTGTGGTGGTGAGTGTAGTGGTGAGTGTAGTGGTGAGTGTAGTGGTGAGTGGAGTGGTGAGTGTGGTGAGTGTAGTGGTGAGTGTAGTGGTGAGTGTAGTGGTGAGTGTGGTGGTGAGTGTGGTGGTGAGTGTGTTGGTGAGTGTAGTGGTGAGTGTAGTGGTGAGTGTAGTGGTGAGTGTGGTGGTGAGTGTGGTGGTGAGTGTAGTGGTGAGTGTGGTGGTGAGTGTAGTGGTGAGTGTGGTGGTGAGTGTAGTGGTGAGTGTAGTGGTGAGTGTAGTGGTGAGTGTGGTGGTGAGTGTGGTGGTGAGTGTGGTGGTGAGTGTAGTGGTGAGTGTGGTGGTGAGTGTGGTGGTGAGTGTAGTGGTGAGTGTAGTAGTGAGTGTGGTGGTGAGTGTGGTGGTGAGTGTTGTGGTGAGTGTAGTGGTGAGTATAGTGGTGAGTGTAGTGGTGAGTGTAGTGGTGAGTGTAGTGGTGAGTGTAGTAGTGGTGAGTGTAGTGGTGAGTGTAGTAGTGAGTGTAGTGGTGAGTGTAGTGGTGAGTGTAGTGGTGGTGAGTGTAGTGGTGAGTGTAGTAGTGAGTGTAGTAGTGGTGAGTGTAGTGGTGAGTGTAGTGGTGAGTGTAGTGGTGGTGAGTGTAGTGGTGAGTGTAGTGGTGAGTGTAGTAGTGGTGAGTGTAGTG